TAATGTGACCTTGACCTGACCTTCGCTACGCAACCCAAGGTCAAACTGATGTGATCAGTAAATACATCTTTTTAAACGCCACAACTTTTATCTGAAACATTTTTTTCTAAAATGCTTAGTTTTCGAGATATTTCACCGGTCCGGGACTTTTTGAACACCCTGTATAAGATATATGAGAAATATCGATACATAAATAACGCAAGATGTTATTTTCCACAGACCCTGGATTCCACATAATCTAATAATATTTAGTTTTCCGTTGACAACCACGTTTATGGACCCCACGATGGACAACACAACAACGTGCAACAACCAAACAACAACACCAAACAAACAACAAACCCAGTATTACAATACATCGGAGGTTTCCGGATACATAGAAACTGAATCTTCAAACTGTATGTATTATAGACCGCAATACAGTTTTCCGACATTCTCTCAATATGATCATAAATACGACAAACTATCACTTCAAAACTATCACGAGATTGGACAGAATATGCCATCAACTTCGTCAATGTCGTCGTCGTCACCGTTGATACCTTCTTCAATCCCTCATCCCTCTCCCTCATCGCAAAGTCACATGTCTCCTCCAATCCCTCAATCCGCTTTATATCAACTACCGCCTTCTTTACCCTCTCATCCATCTGATTTCCTGAACCCACCGACATTGGATCCGCCAAACTTGAGAAGAGATACTCAACAAAACGCGAGACCGATGGTGAAGCCGCGGCACGGGGAGAGGTTGCTCAAGGACAAGAAGCGGGAAAAGTGTAATTGTCCCAGTTGTCAAAATATAACGCCGAAGTACGATGCAAACGGCAGACAGTTGCATTTGTGTCACATAAAAGATTGCGAGAAGATGTTCAATAAGACGTCGTATCTTAAGGCGCACCTGAGGTGGCACACCGGCAATCGATCGTACGCGTGCCACTGCGGTAAAAACTTTCACCGCAGCGACGAGCTAAAGCGTCACTTACGCACGCACACGGGCGAGAAGACACACCAGTGCCCCAAGTGCGACTGGACATTCCCGAGAAGCGACCATCTCAAAAAACACATGAAGACTCATGAAAATAAAAAAAAATAAAACGCGATGACCTGATGGAGTTGATGTCACATGTTATCGTCGAAATATTAGGTTAGTGCAAAAATAATTACGGTTTTTACGTATAAAGATTTTGTTTTTGTAATTAGGTTTAAATGTCGGACAACTGTTGAATGATCAATATTGAGTTCTTCTGCCACCTCTCGAATTGTTTTACGTGGCTCCGCCTCAATAATGATTCTTAAATCATTATTGTCTATAGCTGAAGGACATCCACGATCCTCTTCATCTTCAAGGCTTTCGTTTCCATCAAATTCTTGTGTTTCAATTGGGATATAAAGTCAACCAGTGTTGAGCTGTACGTTCACTAATTGACTCTTCGCCAAAAACGAATTTGATATTTCGAGCTGTTTCTGTTGTTTTACATTCCAATTAAAACACAAAAATTTGTGATAGAAACGAAAGCTTTAAAATTAACTGAAACTTATACAACAAAATCGCGCGGATTTGCTTTTTTCCATGACTAATTTAAGATGTTATATCCAACAATACTAAAGAATGAAAACAATAGATATAAGCTGAAATCGGTAGTGCCAATTTCATTATTTACAATAATTATCACATGAATATAACAAAAGATAATGATAACTAGAAAAATCGGCGCTAAACTTTTCAGTAAATAAATAATTTGAAAAAGAGAATTATTTTTTTACAAATTTCTTCTTTGTACAATTAATTTACTATAAGTTTATTTTGTTATAAGTATACTTGTAGCCAAATAGATTCCTATCTTTCTGAGTGAGTTTCTGTGAGAAAAGCCGTATGTCTAAAGAAAAGAAATTAGAGAATAATCTATCCGGTCACGATTGTATGTTAACGAAATTTGCAACAAAGGGAGAACGAAAATGAATGAATCAAGTATATGGCACGTTGCCGACATTCTGGCAAAGGGTTCGGCTATTCTTTCTGCCCAAAAGAAGCAAATTTCGAAGTCCATTCGAAATTATTTAAAGGAAATAATTCTTTATTTAGAGGAAATTTTCTTTTCATTTGGTCACGTATAAAACTTCATTTACATAACAATAACTACTTTTACTTTTCCGACCTTAAAAACCATTAATATTTCGACTTCGTTGCTAACAAAAATTGTCAAAGAATAATACGTAAAAAAAGATTAATTTCTGCTCATAAAGTGTAACGTTGGGAAATTAATGACAGTAAAAATTAAGAAAAATATTTTTATAAAAATTTGGAAAACGTATGCTAAAACCTCCTCTCTAGCGTTTATACAACTTGTTAAACGGAAATTAGCCTTTTTTACTCATTATTCTTTCGCGATACTTTGCTGTTGTAAATATTACATTGTAATTACTACCTACGTAATTAGTAAGAATTACGTCAAACAGGAATTAACAAAATAATATATGCCCTGTAAAACCGGTGGTGATGCAGATATTGTAATATTATTATTATATTATTATTACTATTATTAATATTAATATTATTATTAATATTAATATTATTATTAATATTATTAATATTATTAATATTATTAATATTATTAATATTATTAATATTATTAATATTATTACTGGTAATTATAATCAATCTTATGTAACCTTAAAATTATGATGTGATTGTATTATATATCGTAAGGTATTTTCCGGTGGGAAATACTGGTACACTAATACTGTCTTGTAAGATTTATTTCTTGTCATTTTATAACAGATTTAAAACATAAACATCATTAGATGTATTATTTTACGAGCGTTTATATATACACTGAGAGAAAAAACGGTTAATCTAAATAAAATTATAGTTATTTTTGGCTCCAAACTATATAATTTTCAATTGTAACACGGAAATTGTAGTAGCATATTATTAATGCTCATATTTTGATAATTTTGTAATAAATAATTTCATTGAAGTATTTTTCTTTTAACTGTGATGGTATTACCCTGTAGGCTTCAGTGAAGCCAAACGCTATTAAGAAATAACAATAAAAAATGTATTTTTTTTGCACTTTAAAAAAAGTATGGCCATCTTATCCGAGTTTACCCTATCTTTCATGCCTCGTTTTGCTGATTCTCAAATCGGCTAGCACACCAATTTTTTACACGAAAACGCGATTAATTATATACTTTATACACAATTCAATTAGGCGCGGTTTTATCAACATCATTAAAGCCGATCATTGATGCTCGTCGCAACATTCAACGTGTTAACAATTGCTACTTCTCTATTAGTACCTGCAGAATAATCAATCTTAATCTCGTCAATATTGTCTTATCATTTTCACAATTAGCATCTACAAACTTAAGACATGTTTAATATATTTAAATAAAGAACTTCTCTTAACCCTTTAAGTAACACTGGTACCAATAGGGACCACTTAAGATCGGGTAGTTAAAACGCGCCACTTTTGGTTTTAAAGACAACTGACAGATGCCACTAGTATAATTACTATAATGTTCCATGAATTATACGCCTTAAAGGGTTAAAGAATAAATATTCTTTTGCAATTCTTTTTTTGTTTATACGACATGTGATGTATCGCGAAGGTTCTTTCACAAGTGTGTTTTCTAGACAGTCTCACGACATCGTTCCGCACGCGAAAGGTCCCGTAGAAAACCACCTCAAATCCTCCAGCAGGATAACGAGGATTTGATATTACAGAGGCGAGAAAAAGGGGACATACCGTAAAAATGCATATAATAACGAATCATCCCTGCCTCCCTCTGTTTCTCTAGGTATATGCCCTTTAGCGATTATTAGAGCATACTGGGTTCTTTCTAGACATCTTTCTATCACTCGATACGCTCCGCCTGAAGGAAGGAAGGATCAACTGGATATAAGTGCCCTAGAAACATCTTTTTTTTCCTTTATCCAGACCGCGTCGTCTAGCAGGTGTTTCGATTCCTGCAGAGTTCTCGCCTAGAGCGCACGAGAACGTTCAGGAAACGATTAAATCAATTCTCATAGTGAACTAACGCTAACGCAATGATGTGCTTGTAGTTAGAAGAGACCACATGTCACGTTGACTATGCGTTTCGTTTATATATTTATAGTGAAAGAAATGGAGAGAAAAGAATGCGCGCGCCACATTTCAGTTTATTTAAGACAAATACACTCGGCTTCAACCCTTTCTCCTCGATACAGTGAACGCAGTCAATGTCCAATGATATATCTTATTTTCTGAGAATTATCCAGGAACAAGTACTCCTATTGAATATCAACTGTACTCCAAACTATATCGAGAAAAAGAGGATTAAAACCGTTCTAAAAGGAACATAATTGTTTTCGATAAAATTCTATATGGACGAAGATATCACAACCAAAATCTATAATCACGCTCGCAACTTCTTAGAACAAATAATGTGTTTGCAACTAAATGTGGTCGCGCACTCTTTTTGCAGTCAAGCCTGTTAGCCCAGGGTGACAAGGCGACTACATCCAGCACTATTACGTGGCACCTTGCTGCCTTCACCTGGCCGCCAACAGATGGAAGCACGGTGAATGGAACAGGTCGCCGGAGCGTTATTAAGGGGGCGGCGCGCCGTGCAGCCCCCTGACCCCCCGACTCGGTCGTGGATTCATGGCTGGCACGAAGAGGAAGAGGTACACGCAGGCGGACGCTGAGGCAGAGGTAGAGGCAGAGGTAGTGACGGTGGCGGTGGCAGTAGCGCGGGCAGACAGAGAAAAAGAGAGACATCGCAGGATGAACGCGGAAGAGGAGAAGGAGGAGGACGGTGGTGGTGGCGGCGGCGGCGACGAGCGAGCGGGTGAAAAGGGGCGCGAAGGGTAACGGCAAAGTCGTGGCGACGGCAACGGCGGCGGTGAAGCGGGGTGGAGAGGTTACGAAAATGGAGTAAAGGAAAAAAACCCTGGCTGCCGGGCAAATTATAGGGAAAAACGAGGTGGGACGCGGCATTGCGCCGTGCGGAGAGGAGGCAGTACTCACTCCGAGGAGGAGTAGGAGGAGAAAGATGAGGACGACGACGACGACGACGACGACGACGACGACGACGACGACGACGACGACGACGACGACGACGACGACGTCGACGACAACGACGACAACGACGACGACGACGACGACGACATTGACGACGATGAGGACGAGGACGACGAGAATGTGGAGGACGAGGTGGTAGAAGAATGGTGAGCCGAGAGGGGAGAAGGTGGAAGAAGAGGAGGAGGGGTGGCGCCACGGCAATTCCGGACTGGCGTTCAACGTTCCCTACGGAGTACCGAGGATACCCGCGAGAAGCCAACGCGCAAGGAGAGAGACTCTCGAAGAAGACCCCGGCCAGTGGAAACTCTTCTCGTCGGCCGTCTTCCGCGCACGCGGTAATTGACGAGAAAGTGACGAAGAGAGAGAGAGAAAGAGAGAGAGAGAGCTCGATCGAATGCGAGGGAGAAAGAGAGAGCGACGAGTGGATAGCGCGCGGAGGGCGAGCGCATGACGGGAGGGAAGACGGACGGTGAGCGAGAAAGAGAGAGAGACAGAAGGAGGGGGTAGACACACAAGTACAGTACGCACCTCTCTCTTACGTGTTACGTGCGGTCAGTGCGAGAGGCTGCGACGTGCCGCGAGCATGCGTCTGCGACGAACGGCCCTTAAGGCGAACGAGCAGCACGCCGACGTCGCCGACGTCGCGATCGTCGCCTTCAACGTCAGCGTCGCCGTCGCCCTACGATCACGCGTGTAGTACCCGCGAATGACCTTACTACTACCCACCAGGATATACCCAGGTAGCCAGCCATCTGACGCGCGAGACGAACGGAAGGTGGGACGAATGCAACATCATCGTCATCGTCATCATCACCGTCCTCGTCAGCGTTATCATCGTCACCATCATCGCGAATTGACCCCGACCGACCGATCGACCAACCACGAGCAGCGGACGGACAAGCGGACCGGCGCTGCTGAAGGGTACCGTGTCGCCAGTCGCCTGTCGCCCGGTGGTGTCCGTGAAAATTGATTGATTGACGTTCCGCACCTCCTCTCTCACGGTTGCGCGCCTCTCCTCGTCGCCACACGATCGCGATTCTCTCTCACTCTCTATCTCTCTTTCTCATTCACTCACTCTCTCTCTCCCTCTCTCTTTCTGTCTCTCTTTCTCTCGCAATCAGTCTGTCGCGCGCGCGGGCTACTCGCTCCGCCGCCGGAGCGGCCGTCAGTCAGTGGATATGAGAAGCCGAGAGGCCACGGCCGATCGCGCGGGGTGCTGCCGTGCGTCGACGCTGCTGTACGCCGTGTCCCGACGGGAGCGCGTCGCGAGTACTGTGCGTATTACGTTCTACGAGTGCCATTCAGTCGTTCAGTGGCCAGATAGCTCGTCGTCGCGATGAATGTAACCGAATGTCGCTGTTGCTACTACCGCTACTGCTATTACTGGTGCCCGGCGAGAGTGGCCAGCGCGACCCGCGCGCTGCGAGCGCGACGTTGACCCGTCAACAGACGTTCTTCATCGTCGATCATCCCTGAGAGAGCGATCGGAGAAGCCGGGGGGCAGAGATTCAGGCACCCCGAGAGAGACACGCGCCTCTGACTGACACAGTAGTCGGCGACATCCGAAACGCGACGGGAGACTCGACC